AGGTCAAAAACACCCAAGTAGAAGCAAATATTTAACAGTAAACAACTAGAGCAAATCGACGTGCAATGACGATATAATATAGGATAACATACACAAATCTTTTCAGAAACACGTTCATATAGAACTATAGATTAACACCAAGTCAATCAAACCACGATCAACCACATATACAACACGTGCATAAGTGACACTAAGAAAAGATCTCACCACACTTATTCTATCATATTCTATGTTGCTCACACCCCGAGAACACATATCTCCTCTCATCGCCCACCAAGCTCGCTAGACAGATCACTCAACTCATGTCTAACTGACAAGTCACAATAAATCCTAAGTCAACGGGATAATCCTTCACTTCTCCCAACTTACGTGGATAATGGGTCTCCACCTAACAGAAGTGATAGAAGTGTCTCTCTCACACTGCACCTAATCAGGGTCTCTTTCCAGATAAAAGATTCTAGATATTTGATCACATCTCCATTCATGATCCAAATGTCACACTCTACATCCCCGGTACAAACCATCATATACTCCTAGGCATCTATACTCCACCTTACCAAAAATACACACAACGCACTGCTAATGCATCATAACCCACTATACATGCAAGCAATTACACTAAATAATCCTAATGCCTCAAATTCATGCAAATGCCCATATCAAACACATTGAGATGTAGAAGATAATCATGCAACAAAATTTAAATAATTACACACATGCAGAAAAGAATCACACACAGATGCATATACAGTGACTATGTTTACACTTAATAAACCTTACTGGGATCACAACTCGACCCCTCAACCAAATTCGTCTCACCTCTCATCTTGCCCTTCAGCTTATCTTTCTTCTTGGAACAGTCCCTAATAAAGTGTCCAGACTTACCACAACTGTAACACCTTCTACCACTAGACTTATCTCGTCCCTTGCCCTTCTCCTTACTACCCTCATCACTCAAGTCACTACTCGAAACACTACCGTCTTGAGTTCTACTCAAATTCATTTGCTTAAACTTCATCCTACTCCTCATCATATGTAACTCGCCACTCCTCTTATCCTCTTTTTCAACCTTAATTTCCATCTCCTTACTCTAAGTGAGTCTATGACAATCTCGGGTGTTAAGGTGTCCCTACCGTACTTAATTGCATTCTTAACTTCCCTATATGAATCAGGCATGGAATTAAGCAAGATAATAGCTTTATACATTTCAAATACCTCTTGTTAAAGACATCTAGATTATCATTAAGATCCTTTGAAGGATCCATTTTAAAGCTGAAAAATATTTCAAGTAAGTACAATTTATTAGTAGTTGACTTAAACAAATATAAGTCCTCCAACTTCTCCCAAAGTTGTTTTGTAGAATCCAATTTTCCTACTTTTCTCAAAATAGTATATGCAAGTTCATCATACTCTTCTTTTTGTACTTTTGTTAAATTTGCAGGAAATTTGTCATTTATGGCCTTTAAAATTTTTTGTTGGACCAAAATATCCTTCATCTTTTGTTGTCAAATTGAAAAATCTCCTTTCCCATTGAAAATTCCAACTTCAAAGTGTGAAAACATTTTTAATGAGAAAATAAAAACCAGAACAGCCAAGTCACAAATAAGTTACACAAAGTAATCCGAAAGTCGTAATATACACCGTTCTAGATTTTCAGGGTTTCATAAGATTCACGATCTTAGATCAAGGGAATATTCGAATGGGTTAAGTCCAGGTGTTCTAATGAGATAAATAATGCAAACACGAAGGTATATAAACAAAAATTTCAAATTTTCACGCAATAAGTCTTACACAATGACTATATGACATATAAAGCACAAAATCGACTACCAGCTTGCAATTAAAGTTCAACACTTCAAAATAGAGCAAATAATTCCTAAACTTTCTAGCACAAGCAATAGTTGCCAAGCAATGACAACCCCAATCCTAACGATCAACCCACACGTTGATCTGCTAATGCTAAAATTTAAACTGACTTAAACCAATATGCCAAAGCGGACCTATTTGAGTCTGTAAGTTACGAGAGTTGTGAATTTATCATTTTCGGACCACCACTATTCGTCCTAAAGTCTCTAAAAACTGCAGCAACCAAAAAATCACGATCGAGTCCCGAACGCCCGAAGAACAATGCTGTCCAGATTCTACTACGTACCCTGAAATAGAAAACTTTCAACATGAAAAATGTTAGAAATAATATGAGGAACAAACTGCCTAAGGAACCTCCTCGAAATTCCACTCCACGTGCCCTCACACGCGTCTCCTTTTCTCTTCGCGTGGGCTTCACGCGCAATCACACGCACTGCTTTCGACCGACACGCGCAGCCCTGCAGGGTTTGCCTCCACCTGCACGTCACGCTAATGGTCTCCGTTTCCCCAAACTCCTTCTGGATTGATCAGAAAAAAAGGGAGACTGATTTTGACAGTTTTTGGACAGCTTCTTCGATCTCATTTTTGCTGCGATTTCTGGACGTTTTTGGTATGTTTCACGAGCCAAAACAACCATCTTGAAGCTCTGATACCAATTGTTGCCAAAGCTTTCTTCAAAGATCTTCAAAATCAGTGATTTACAGGCTCAGTCCAACACACCTTTCTCAACCAACAACCAGTCCAATTGGCTCCAAACCACAACCAATTGATTCACCTTAGTTGCTATTCAATCTTATCCACTTAGAACAAGAAAGGATGATGATTTGTGGTCACAAAGGCTAAGAAAAGACACCACAAAGGTTACTATGAAGGAACCACCAATTGCATAAGTTATACAAGCATTCTAAACACTTCTAGAGACCTTTTTTCTCACACAAAGGAGGGCAGCCGGAATTCTCTTTTTCTTCTCGCAAAATCACACCATACATTATAAGAAAGCGGCTAGGGTTATAGCCATATATATATTCTAGGGTTAGACTTTAAATTGAACCATTAAAGTAGTAAATGGGTCAAGATTCAAGTTATCCATAAGGAAATACAATTGGGTCGGGTGTAACTTATGGACTTGGTTGTTGGACTTATTTCATTCATCGGCCTATGCCTATAAAATAATATTAACCCACGTTAACGTCATAGCCCGGGATTTATTTGGTATCAAAAATCCAACAATGGCATTCTGTTGAGATAACTTACAATCCATTAAGTTTGTATTTAGTTTTCACCTTTTTTGACAATTTTCTTGACATTTAAAAATTAATCTATATATTAAGTAAGTCAATAAAAATAATATGTATTTTCCAACAAAAAATGATGTAAAAAAGAAAAATAAGTCTTGGCGTTTAAAAGTAAATAAATGTATTGCATATTTAAGAAAACGAAACCTTCGATTGGAATGGTTAACATGTAAAAATCATACGACATACAGCCATACAAGTTATACATTACTTGCACACCATCATGACTCTAATCTAAATTGAGGGAAGTATTGGAATTTTTTCTATGAATCAATGAAAATGAAAATTTTCTCAAGAACAGAGTAAGAAAAATAATTTTAATATTGTTAAATTTCATATGGAATGTAGTAATTTCTTATTGATTGAATATACAGTACATTGGTGTATATATTACATCCACATCCTGCCATGCATGGAAAGTAATCAATCTAGGACAAAATATTTGATAAAGGAAATAATCTTCTCAATTATAGCTAAATCCCTAAAATCACGCTTAATAAATATGTTCTATAAGAGAATATTAAAACAAACTAGATTGTCCACCAAGAAATTTAATCCATAGGATATGGGCTTGTCAAAAGTGGAGAATAAAAGGTTGTCACAAACTAGAAAGTGCTGCACTAGTAATGAGCATTGGGCAAATAACTACTCCACCACTGCCTTCCATCATTATTTTGTGGGGATTCAATATTAGATTGACTCCAAACTTAATGGCTTCATCTATGAATAATTATGAATCAATATATGGGTAAATTTCATCTGCATTTGTTGAACTTTAAGAGAAATTTCAATTCGATTATTAAACTTCAATTTCAATTTAGTTTCAAATTTTATAACTTTTATCACATATTGTACCCCAAAACAAAATAAATTACTTAGTTGACATTAATATCATAATTGTTCTTTTACGTATTCAATATGTAGTACCCTAAAAATGAAAATGGTAAGACGAGAGTTTATGAATGTCTTTAAATTAAAAGTTTAATCACACAACTTGAAGATAAATTAAAGTCCAGTGTCCCAATTGGAATAAACTAAAGCATAGATACCCAATTACAATAAATTGAAGGTTATTGTTCCAAATGAGATTTCAAAAGGTTCGATGGCCACGCATATAAAACCATCAATTGGTTGTACTCAACTAGACATAACTAAAGTGAACATTCGTTTCGTATTTTATTAACTTTGCTTTATCCACTCATTCCAGTCCGCAAATGCTCTTCGTGATTTCCAAGATGTGACAAAGAAACAACAGCAGAAAGCAGTATACGATTAGTATGGATCGCTAGCGAGCTGCCCCAGCTTCCAACTCATCTAGAGAACGAATTGGGACCCTGTGTTGCTGATGTACTAAATATAAAAAGTAATTATAGATATATATAGTTTTCAAGATCTGATGTATTTATTTAAAAATTAGTACTAGTTTGTAGCACAAACCCGTGAGTGGAATGCATTTAGGATGGGACAAAATGATTGTTTGCAAGGAAGATGAATGATTGGTTTAGATCGTGCCCACGATAACGTGGCTTTACCAATAGAAAAGACAAAACTCCATCACATGTTCACATAACTATAGGTAACAAAAATTTGGGTTAGAGACTTTAGATTACACCAAATAAATTGAATTTAACAATATATAAATCTTTTATATATAATTGCCTTTATTCTTTTCGTTTCTAACTAACTTGTAATTTTCCATCTTTATATTCACATGATATACATAATGGACTTAATACTTCATTGACAAAGAAAGAGTAATGCTATGCTATATAACAGATGTGTAGCAAATTCAGATATATTGACCTAACTTGACAATTCTCTTGACTAAATGTTAATGGGTAGAATACTCAAGGAGATAGTCCGGGTATAGTATATACGGACTCTTATGTAGCATCATCATTGTCGACCTTCATTGATTAAATATATCCTAACTACTTCAACAGCGAATCGGAGAATTTCTGTCACTTAGATGATGTTAAGCACCAGCTTTACTGTCTAGCACCGTTAATAAATAAATAACATAGCAAGTTGGTGATAACGATCCACTTGACATTAAAAAAGTCAAAGTCCGACCAGTGCTTAGTCATATAAGAATACATTTACATATTACAAAAGAATGAAGCCATAATACAGGTTCTCTCATAGGGCAATTCCACCTTGATAAGAGCAAATAGAGTTGATGATGGAGTTGAGAATTCTAAGGGCAGTTGTGTTGGTTTTGGCTTTGGGAATGTTAACTGGTCAATCTTGTGCCTCTTTCAAAGATTGCTACACCAAATGCTTTATATTTTGTATGATTGAACCTTCTGAAACCCTGTGTTCCTGCACTACACACTGCTTGAAACAATGCATATTCTCAGACAGCCCACAAGGTGTTCATGAAGATAAGGATAATCTTGGATTTTGTAAACTTGGCTGTGCCTTCTCCATGTGCTCCACTATTAGTACTAAACGAAAGCCAAGTAAGCTTCTCTCTCTCTCTCTCTCTCTCTCTCTCTCTCTCTCTCTCTCTCTCTCTCTCTCTCTCTCTCTCTCGAGTCTGTAGTTACTGTTCCCATCAAGGTTATCCCCTTACCTGTTCTCCCACTAAAATTTGGATGCCTCACTGCAAATTTGAGGTATCGAAATTCTAGTGGTGGGACAGCTAAGGAGACTACCTTACGAGGACAGACAGCAGATCTGGACTCACCTATTTATCTATACAAATTAACTTCACACATCTAATGTTGTTTTTATTTTTTCAGATGGAGAGAAGGTTGATAACTGTGTGGGATCCTGCTCAACAAAGTGCACCAAAAGCTACTCATTACCTTGAAGAAATTGGTCATATATGTAACTCTTTAATCTTGACAATTTTTTTTTTTTTTTTTTTTGGTCTTAGTGATTTTAGCAAGTCCATATCAACTTCGATGCAATGATGCTATCAATAACATGCAGTGATGTTCTTTTCTGGAGAATTAGCATTTTTCGCTCTTCAACTTCTACTTCAAACAAGTAAAGGACTTCCTTGTTTTCAAAAGTTACAATTTTAGCGATGAATTAATATTAAGTTTCTACTCTCGGAGTTTTCTGGATTTCCATAGCCTTTTCTGTGTAATAGATTATGAAAACTCGATTTATTCATATGATTTTTAATTATTGTAAACATAAATTTCATAAAACGACCACTTATAAATACTTTCTTTTGATCATTGCACATGGTACAAATTCGTGTTTACATTGGGAGATATAGTCAATATGGTAGGTATGAACAAGGTTGACCTTGAGATTAGTGGAACATTATCCCAACTATATATATATTATGGTAAGACATCACCTATGCAAGCTTTAGACTGCAACCTCTATCACTTAGAGTTGGAACCAATCCTCTAAGTGTAAAAACTCCACAAAATTGAACGTAAGGTTCCCACCTAAACAATGAGTGCAAGAAATTCATACCTACTTTTGATCAATCCAAGATAATAATTAAGATTCTGTTGTCGTAACATGACCCGTGAACAATACTCAATAATTGGCATGTGAAGAAAGTAGACTATGTTTCCTAAGTAGGGAAGAGTTAACTTGTGGTTCACGTGTGCTTTACTTCTTGTGCCCATAGGTTCCAACAATTGATAATTCAACTTTTGATCATTTTCTAAAAAAGTTTGACAAGTTTTTCCATTTGTTCACATGGACTACCCAACTTAATAGAAACAAATTATGAAAACTTTCATCGCACATCATCTGACCCGACAAGTAAAATAAGAATTTCGCTGGTTTGCAAAAAAATTTTTGACAGAATGGTTAACATCCTCTCACATAGCATATGGGTCCTGCGTGAATAAAAAAGTCCAAAAAAAGTGAGCCCTGCCATTGTAAGTGTTGGTCAAGTTGCATGTCAACCATTTTCGATCACCGTAGCATGGTTCGTAAAATAAATTGTGTCAAGCTCGACACAACCCTCCCCGTACGTACATCACTGCATGTGTAGAGGAGTACATCATGACTGTAGGAAGATAATCAAGTCTAAACTGGACAAAACTTTGGTGCATATGAAATCCAGCAAAATAATAGACCAAATAAACTCTATCATTGTTAGTAGTGTTGAAAAAATAATTTGTCCTCTCGGCTTGCATATATAATTAATTGTGTATTAAATCTTAGAGTAAATTGTATCCCATGATACTTTTTGGATTGTCACATTTTAATAATCTTTGTAAGAATGTCATTTTTGAACTTTTTTGCCCCTCTAGAAAATTTAAATACAATGCATGTTTTTAATTGAATTTAATTTGACTAAGGTAGTGTTTGATTGGAGGTAGAATTCCACCTTTCAATTTAACCTTGTTTGATAGTCATTTCTTCCCTAGAATTGAATTTCCATCTTTGGTGCCACATTAGCCAATTTCCATGAATTTAAGGAATTGCAATTTTCACCAATTGGAATTCCCGGTTACTGTAACATTTATTTATTTATTTTCGATTTTTTTTTCAATAGAAACAAATTCTAAGAATTTTTGTAAAAAAATATTTCCCTTTAATTGACAATTTTCATGTAAAACAAAAACAAACGAGTACCAAAAAATAGATGATTTTTTTGAAATTTTGTTTTTGGCAATGGGAACAAATTTCATCCCCAATATCAGTAAATTCTATCTCTTTAATTGACAATTTTCATGTAAAACAAAGTCAAACGAACACCAAAAAATACTTTTATTTCAACATTTTCCACGTGAAAAATTATACCAATCAAACACAATAATTTACGATTCCCAGGAAAAAAATTTCTAGGCAATTCAATTTCCTGTAATTCGTTTTCTAAACAATTCAATTCCATATTTGCAGTTAAACGGACTCTAAATGAAAAAGTTGTACAAGAAGTAGAAACCCACTTTCTAAACCCATTTTGTAGGTAACGATTCTCTATCTATTTATGATATCCCATATTTGTTTAATACAGTTGCCTTGTTTAATGAAATCTTGCATATGACTTCGCATGGTACTAAATGAAAGTTAACCAATGAGGATTCCACTTCGTTATGGCATAGGCAGCGATTAGGTCACATCTCCCAAAAGATAATTCAAATAATCTCCTTGATTTTTCAAATTTTGATGCTTTTGTTAATTGTATTAAATGGAAATAGACAAACATAAGAAGATTAGATACCAATAGAATTTCGAATATCTTCGAACTAATAAATACAAATATCTGTAGACATTCTCTATGTCCTTTTGGAATGGTCAATAGTATTTTATCATGTTCATAGACAATATTTCATGTTATGACTACATGTATCTCATTCCAAAAGAAGTTCTAGTCACCGGACATGTTCAAGGTTTGCAAGGCTAATGTTGAAAACCATCTCAACAAAAGAACTAAATACATTAGATCTGTCCGTGTTAGTAAATACTATAGCATATAGATGGATCAGGTGAACAACATCCAAGGCTTTTTGCTAAATACTACAAAGAATATAGAATTGTTCCACAATATATAAGCTAGGATCCCCTAGCATGAATGATATTGTTGAGAGACGAAAAAGAACACTTAAAGAGTTTGATTAGTCTTTTCATCTTACCAGAATCTTTCTAGGGAGAGGCACTAAAGATTGTAGCTTACGTTCTAATAGAGTTCCAATTAAAGTAATTGCCAAAGGCCCTTATGAGCTTTAGACATGCAAAAAAATTAATTTGAAGCACTTGCACATCTGGGATTGTCAAGTTGAGGCAAGGCCTTATAGGCCAAATAAAAGACACTAAACTCCAAAACTATCAACTACTATTTTGTTGTATATTTTGAGAGGTCAAGGTGCTACAAATTTTATGATCCCACTACTAGGTCAAATTTCAAAATTGGAAATGCTCGATTTTTCGAGAACATTGAGTTTTTCGAGAGGGATAAGGTAAGGAAATTTATCTTCGAGGAAGAATATGTAACTATTCTTTCAATTACTATTAACAATGATTAGGATCAGACACAATTTTCTATTCTTGATTTGTTCAAGCAATTATGGATCAAGATATATTCAAGAACCCCATGTTCACAATCAAGATATTGTTCTAGAAGAACAATTTCAATAACATCAAGAACAATTGTCATCAAGGAGATCAATCAGAGAAAGGAGAATGGCAATTCCTGATAACTTTGACGTCTTTCTCCAAGAACATAAAAATGGCATTGGATTGGTAGAAGAAGATCAAATTAACTTTCATCAAGCCATGCAAAGTACTAATTCCTAAAAGTGGGTTGACGCTATGAATGAAAAGATAAAGTTCATAAAAGACAATGACATTTGAGAACTCATCCCATTGCCTAAAGGTGCAAAACCCATTGGAATGGATTTAAAATCAAGCAGGATTCGAAGGGTGATGTAGAGAGATATATGACTTATTTTGTTGAAAAGAGATTTACTCAAGAAGGAAAGTATTAATTTCAAAGAGAATCTCTTCGATTTCAACAAAAGACTCTTTCAGAACTATCTCGTCCACAACCGACCCAAAAGGGAAGTACCTTTCCCTCTGGGAGTAAGAAAATCTTAATTAGGATAACAGATCAAAAGCTATGGAACTTGGGTGTGGGCCTTTGAAATAGCTTTTTCTTTTTATTTATTCTTTATCGTGAATGATAGAATCGTTACAATTGGTATACCCCCCGGCCCATTCGCGTATTTTTTTTATTTTACACGTATGTATATTTTCTGAAAAAATAAAGTATTCAGTTTATTTTCACTATAATTAGTTTGGTTTGATCTCATTAAAGAATAAGGTAAGACCAGTTAAAAATGGACATGTTTAAATCACAATATATATAATTTTTGTACTACACATCCATACTTAATTTATGTAATTTGACTATGTTGATATACAGAGCTATTGATGGGTTTAATTATGATACATGTAGCAAAGATCGCTTTGGTCTTATATTGACAAAATCAATATTATCTATTGATCGGAAATTCTTTTGGTCATGATAACAAAGGTGTAATAGCCGAGAAAAAAAAATAAAATGAAATTATGCTATTATTTTGTGATGATCTAGCACCACGAGCCTAACCCATTTTAGAAACAACCTATGGAAGCTCAACCCATGCAAGATTACGAAAGTCCAAGTCATAAGTTAATTAAAAGCCCAGCAATTTAAGAGATTAAGTTTAAGTAAAATTGATTACAAAAATTTAATGAATAATTGGGTTGCCACAATGGTCATATACATGGTATTTCATATAGGCAACCCATGTTCGAATCGCCATGTAGATGTTTTTTATAAAACTTTCATATGAATTATTTTTATGGGTTAGAGACTCTTCAAATTCTTAGTTAAAGACTAAGTTTAATAAATTTAATGATAATACAATTTTCCCACTTAATTTTTCATTAAAAAGAAAGGTTATAGAAGTGGAAGGACACTTTTTCACTACACTCCTCTTCAAATCCGAATTTTATTTCATTTTCTCTCAAAAAAAAATATATTTCATATCAAGTTAAGCTTAAAGTATAACAAGGGTGAGAAGAAGGAAGGCTTTCTATACATTTTGTTCTTTTATCCAAGAAAATTCAAGATAGGTAGAGGTACAAGTGTTCATTCGTTTTCAAATGAAATGGTACCTTTAGGTACGATACTTCGGCACTACAACAGTTTGAATAATCATTCTCCGACTCTACGTGTTACGATAATACTATAGTAATTGGATTTTGCCGAAAATTCATCTACGGTATGAATTTATAATTCGAAATTTCTAATTTGATAACGAATTGCACTGATGATAGCTATTGAGTTTCAAACTCATGGGTTAATTTCCTTCCTACAGGTTGAATGAATTTTCCTTGGGGCGTAGAAGACAATAAAAGATGATGCAACATGTCATGGAGAAGCTGGTGATTTACATCTTTAGTTGATTTTGAGATGTTTACACTTTCTTTAAATTTGATTCCTATGAATATTTTGTGGATCTATTTTATGAACACTCGTTATGAATAAATTATGTTTGAAAGTAGATATACGTCATAGGAATAAATTTACAAATCACCGTATACAAAAAAAAAATGTTAGCAAGTTAAAGTTTTGATATCTCTTCAGAAATTTCAGTTTCTGCCTCA